CAGGCTGCAGGCACGTGGGAGCACCATCTGCTAGTTGCTCTCCAAGCCACTCACCAGCCTGACTTAGAAATATATTTCTATTCCTTCACTCGCGCTGTGCCAAGTCCTGGAATTCCCTTCTATACAGCATTGTGGGTCAAACTATCACATTGCAGCGGTTCAAGGCAGCAACTTACCACCACCTTCTCAAGGGCGATTAGGGATAGTCAACAAATTCTGGTCTAACCAGATGCCCAAATTCCCAGGAATGAACAAAACCTGGTGTTCCCCAGGGTTCCATCTGTATTAAGGTGTGAAATTGATTTAATGTTTTGTGTTGATAATCTCTTGCCTGGCATAAAGGCGATAGCTTTGAAGAAATGGAAGGGACTTTTATTTCAGTCTGAGTATATTCTATTTGCATTTGCAAGGTTTAGGAAGCTGAAATCGGATAGGGCACATGAGGAATATAAAGAAAGCAGGAATGAACTTGAGCAGGGAATTAGGAGAGCAAGAAGGGGCCATGAACTATCCTTGGCAAGTAGGGTTAAAGAGAATCCTAAGGCATACATTTAAAAACAAGAGGATAACTAGGGAGAAGGTAGAAGTGCTCAAGGATAAAGGAGGGAACGTGCTTGGAGGCAGAGATGTGGATGAGAACCTAAATGAGTACTTTGCATCCATATTCACCCAGGAGAAGGATATGGAGGATAGTGAAATTTGCGTATAGCATGCTAATAAATGAGGGCATTTTGAGGTCAAGAAATAAGTGGTGTTGGATCTCTTGAGCATTAAGGTGGATAAGTCCCCAGGTCCCTAGGGTATCTACCCTAGGTTATTGACAGAGGCAAGAGAGGAAATTGCTGGAGCCCTGACCAAGATCTTTGTATCCTCACTAGCCACTGGAGAGATGCCGGAGGACTGGCGAGTAGCTAATGTTTCTGTGTTCAAGAAGGGAAATAGGGATAATCCAGGAACTTATAGACCAGTGAGTCTCACATCAGTGGTTGGGTAGCTATTGGAGAAGATTCTTAGGGATAGGATTTACACACATTTAGAAAGGCACAGCCTAATTAAGAATAAAAACAAAGTTGCTGGAAAGACTTGATAACTACTGGAAAGTAGTTAATGGGGACTGTTAGTGACTAACAACAGAGGGTGTGAAATGGCAGGCTATGTGGTAACATGGCCTGGTATGTGGGGTAGGGGGCTAGGACATGGGAGAGTTTAGGCCCTAAAATTATTGAACCCGGTATTGAGTCTGGAGGGCTGTAGGGTCCCCAAGTGGAAAATGAGGTGTTGTTCCTCCAGCTTGCGTTGGGCTTCACTGGAGCACTGCAGCAAGCCAGAGACTGAGATGTTGGCTGGGGAGGAGGGTGGTGCGTTAGAGTGGCAGGCAACAGGTAGTTCAGGGTCTTTTTTGCGAGCAGAATTTAGATGTTCTGCGAAGTGGTCGCCAAGTCTACACTTCGTTTCCCCAATGTAGAGGACACCACATTGTGAGCAGCAAATGCAGTAGACTAGATTGTGGGAAGTGCAGGTGAAGTGTTGCTTCAACTGGAAGGTATGTTTGGGCCCTTGAATACTGGGAAGGGAGGAAGTAAATGGGCAGGTATTGCACCTTTGCCGGTTACAGGGGAAGGTGCCGTAGGGCTGTGGGGAAGTGTTAGGAGTGAAGGAAGTGTGGACCAGGATATCCCGGATGGAACGGTCTCTGTGGAAGGTGGACAAGAGAAGGGAGGGGAATATGTGTCTGGTGGTGGCATCTCGCTGTAGGTGGCAGAAATGGTGTCTGATGATTTTCTGGATGTGGATGCTGGTGTGATGGTAGATGAGGATAAGGCGAACCCTATCGCTGTTGCGGGAGGGAAGAGAGGGGGTGAGGGCAGAAGTGTGGGAGATAGGTTGGACCTGGTTGAGGGCCCTGTCGACAACGGAGCTGGGGAATCCTCGGTTGAGGAAGAAGGTGGACATTTCAGAGGCTCCCTTGTCGAAGTTGGCCCCATCTGAACATATGCACTGGAGCTGGAGGAACTGAGAGAATGGGATGGTGTCTTTCCAGGAAGTGGGGTGTGAGGATGTATTGTCCAGGTAGCTGTGGGAGTCAGTGGGTTTGTAATGGATATTAGTGGTTAGCCTATCCCCAGAAATGGCAACAGAAATGTCGAGGAAGGGAAGGGAGGAGTCAGAGATTGACCAGATGAAAGTGAGGGCAGGGTGGAAATTGGAGGCGAAATTGATGAAGTTTTCCAATTCTAGATGAAAGAGGGAAGCAGCACCGATGATATCATCGATGTATTGGAGAAAGAGTTGTGGGTGGGGGCCGAAATAGGACTGGAACAAGGAATGTTCCACGTACCCCATGAAGAGACAGGCATAACTGGGGCCCGTCCAAGTACCCATGGCAACCTCTCTTACCTGAAGAAAATGAGAGGAGTTAAAAGAGAAGTTGTTGAGGGTCAGGACAAGCTCGGCCAAGTGGAGGAGGGTGGTGGTGGGTGGGGATGGTTCAGGTCTTTGCTCCAGGAAGAAGCGGAGAGCCCCAAGAACCTCCTGGTTGGGAATGGACATGTAAAGGGATTGCACAAAGAGGAGGTGGCTGGAGCCGGTAAACTGGAAGTTTTGAAACTGGCGTAAGGCGTCAGATGAATCATGGATGTATGTGGGTAGGGATTGGACCAGGGGGGAGAAGACTGAGTCGAGGTAGGAAGAGATGAGTTCTGTGGGGCACGAGCAGGCTGAAACAATGGGTCTGCCTGGACAGTCCTGTTTGTGAATTTTTGGCAGGAGGTAGAAACGAGCTGTGCGGGGTTGGGAGGGGTGTGCTATCAGTTTGGAAGCGGAGGCGGGGGAGATCACCGGATGAAATGAGATCAGTTACCGTAGTGGATACAATGGCCTGATGTGCCATGGTGGGGTCCAGGGGAAGGTAGGAGGAGGTATCTGAGAGTTGGCGCTCCGCCTCTGCAAGGTAGAGGTCAGTACACCAGGCTAGAACAGCACCACCCTTATCGGCAGGCTTAATAACAAAGTCAGGGTTGGATCTGAGTGCACGGAGTGCAGTCGGTTCGGAGGAAGATAGGTTGAATTTGGTGAGGGGGCAGCGAAATTGAGGTGACTAATGTCACGTCGACAGTTCTCAATGAACAGATCAAGTGCAGGTAAAAGGCCGGAGGGAGGGGTCCAGGTGGAGGGAGAGTGTTGGAGTTGGGCGAAGGGGTCTGTGGGACGGGATGAGGACTCTTGTCCAAAGAAATGAGCACGGAGGCTAAGACAGCGGAAGAAGAGTTTGACGTCATGTCATGCCTGAAATTCGTTAAGGTGGGGATGCAGAGGAATAAAGCTGAGGCCTTTGCTGAGTACGGAGCATTCAGCATCGGAGAGCGGAAGTTTAGGAGGGATGGTGAATACCCGACAGGAGGTGGGGGGTATGGGGGAGGGGATGGAGTCAAAGGGAAGGGGTGGAGGAGAAGGTTCTAGAGGACCATGGGTAGTTTTGAGTTGTTGCATCTTGTGGGCCTTAATGCCTGAACGGAAAAGAAAATGTTTCTTGTTAGCATGACGAATGAGCTGGAAGGTGAGGTGGAACTGCGGAGTGGTGCAGCCCTAAGCCAGTGTGTTGTAATGCTGTTGGAGAGAAAGGTCGAGAGTGTGCACGTGAGGCCTAATTAGGGGCAGTCAGCGTGGCTTTGTGCAGTCGTGTCTTACTAATTTTGATTTTTGAGGAAGTGACAAAGGTGATCAATGAGGGTAGAGCACTGCATGTTGTTTACATGGATTTCAGTAAGGCTTTCGACAAAGTTCCTCCTGGTAGGCTTGTCCAGAAGATTAAGATGCATGGGATCCATGGTAACTTGACCATTTGGATTCAGAATTGGCTTGCCCATAGAAAGCAGAGGGAAGTGGTGGAAGGGGTATTTTTCAGGCTGGAGGTCAGTGACTAATGGTGACCCATACTGGGACCAATGCTGTTTGTGATTTATATGACTGACTTGGATGAAAATGTAGATGGGTGGGTTAGTAAGTTTGCAGACGACATAAAGATCGGGGGAGTTGTGGATAGTGTAGAAGCTTCACTGGAACACTACAGCAAACCAGAGACAGAGATGTTGTCCAGGGAACAGGGTGGTGCGTTAGAGTGGCAGGCAGCTGGAAGCAGTCACCCAGACTACTCTTTGTTTCCCCATTGCAGGTGAGACCACATTGTGAGCTGCTTAGGTTTGCTGCGGTGTTCCAGCGAAGCTCGGCACAAGCTGGAAGAACAACCACCTCACTTTCTGCTTGGGGACCCTGCAGCCCTCTGGACTCCATATCGAGTACAATAATTTTAGGGCCTAAACTCTCCCATGTCCTAGCCCCCTACCCCAAACACCAGGCCTTGTTATCACATAGCCTGCCATTACACATCCCCTGTTGTTAATCACTAACAGTCCCCATTAACAACTATTCACACTTCTAGCCAGATTGTTAACTCCTTTTGTCTGTCCAACTGCTCTTCTCTGTCTTTGGGCTCTATCCTATCGTTTACTCCCTAACCCCTCCCCCTCCCTACCTTCTGCATATGAACTGACATTTTCCCAGCCAGCGTCAATTCTGAGGAAGGGACACCGGACTCGAAACATTAAATCTGATTTATTTTTCTTCACAGATGCTGCCAGACCTGCTGAATTTTTTTCCAGCAACTTCTGTTTTTAGTCTTTGTTTGCATTTCTGCTGAGGGGGTGCCCAGGCTGCTCCACATCTCTTCACAGCCAGTTTACTTTGGCTGATGGAGAGTCATGGGACCGGGTGTGATGAGAGACATGCTGCTGGTTTCAGTGTGAAGCTGTTGATAGGGTTAAAGCGTTGGAAGGATGAAGATCTGTTTCCTGTGGGTGTGTGTGGGAGGGAAGGACGAGGAAGTGAAACTGGTGTTGTGCCTACAGTAAGCTGCTACAGAAGGAGCTGGTTCCCACTGTGTTATGTTGCTGTTTTGACTAGATGGTCTGACAGCCTGGCTGTCTGTCTGTTTATCCTTACAGACTGTGACTGGAGAATTGGAAACTAGGTGACAGGTCTTTCCCCTGAGGGCGAGCAGACATGTGGTGGTTCCAGCAGGGAATGAGCTTCTTTCCAGCTGCCCTGGTCGTCTGGTCAGCGGCTGCCTTCATCTTCTCCTTCATTACAGCTGCCCTGCTCCGGCATGTTGACCCATTGGTGCCTTACATCAGGTTAGTGAAACCAACGTCGTGCTGCAGCCCTAGAATTAGAAATAACGTTGTGCTTTGTGTGAGCGGGCCAGTCCTAGGCTGCCCACACTCACACAAACAGAAAGTGCTGGAGAAATTCAGCAGGTCCGGCAGAACCTGTAGGGAGAGAAAACAGAGTGAACGTTTCGAGTCAAGCTGGAGTTTCTCCAGCAATTTCTGATTTTGCTTCAGATCTTCAGTTCTTTTTGTTTTATCTTGTTCACTCATGCTCCCTGTTGTTCACACTACAGACACTGGACCTGTCTATCTGACCGTCCCATGTCAGTGAGCATCTCGCCAAAGGTCATTGACCTGAAACATGAAGTCTGTTTAATTGCTGAGAGTTTCCAGTGTCTCCCCTGTCTTATTGCAGCATTCCCCAGACAATACTTTGCCTCATAGAGTAGAATCCCTACAGTACCGACAGAAGCCATTCAGCCTGTTGAGTCTGCACCAACTCTACAAAGAGCATCCCACCCAGACCTAGTCCTCAAACCTGCATTTCCCATGGTCAATCCACTTAGCCTGTACATCCTGGTACACTACACTATTTAGCATGGCCAATCCACCTAACCTTTGCATCTTTGCACTGTGATACAGGGAGAACACGCAAACTGCACACAGTCACCTAAGGCTGGAATCGAACCCAGTCCCTGGCGCTGTGAGATAGTAGCACTAACCACTGAGCCCCCATGCCACCCTAAGGAAGGTGATACAGAAGCGGCCATTCAGTTACATGGTCACATCCCAGACATTTAACCTTCTGGAACTGCTATAGAGCCCGGCATTTGAGCTTTTTATGGCTGAGGTTATTCTGTACCTGCATCCAGATAAAATATAGCACTTCTAGACATTGCTGTCCACATCATAATTCACACCAAGTCGAGCTCACTAAACTATATTAGCTCCTGTTCAAACAAATATCAGTTTTAAAAAAAGTGTCATCAATGCTTTCAAACGTTGAAATGCTGGGCCTCCTTCCTACTACAATCCACCGGTATATGCACTCCTGCAATACTAGCCTTTTGAACAATTTGGATTTTATAGTCATTCCACCATTGCTGGCCGTGCTTTCATGGGCCTCAAGCTCTGGAATTCCTCCCTAACCTCTCTGTCTTTCTAACTTGTTTTCTGCCTTTGAGATACTTTTCACTATTTTTCACCAAAGGTTTGGTCTGATATGTTAAGCAACTTGATGTGTAATCTTAATTAATAATATTCCTGTTTAGAGTGTCTGGAGATGTTACTTTTTTTAAATTTTTAAAGCATATTCTAAAACATATTTAGCTAGTAAAGCATATTTGTTGCTGTTGCTTGGATGTTCCTGTATCAACTGACAGCAGAAAACACCAGTAAATAAGGTTGCCCAATGAAATAATCAGAGCATTTGATTAGATTTCAGGCAATAGTTTTCCAGTGGCAATGGAACTGTTTGAATCATTGCTGCCGAAGGATTTGACTTTAGTAAATGCAACAGGCCCAGTTTCTCCTGAATAATCCTTGGTTGATTGTGGAGGATTTGAATTGGGACTGGACAGCTGCAATCTGAACTTGTGTTTTTCTGTATGTTTGGATGAAGTCTTGGGCCTCTCCATAATGGATGCAACATCTGTGAGGAAGAGATAGTGGAGCAGCAAAAGGCCATTCATTTAAAACCTTGAGGATTTTTATTCATTTGTTGGATGTGGGCGTTGCTGGCTGCCCAGCATTTATTGCCCTCCCTAGTTGCCCTTGAGAAGGTAGTGCCTTCTTGAACTGCTGTAGTCCATCTGCAGACAAGACTATTAGAGAGGGAGTTCCAGGATTTTGACAGTGAAGGAACAACGACGTATTTCCTAGTTAGAATGGTGAGTGCCCGGGGGGATCTTGCAGGTGGTGGTGGTGTTCCCATGTAACTGCTGCCCTTTTCCTTCTAGATGGAAGTGGTCGTGGGTTTGGAAGCTGCTGTCTGAGGATCTTTGGTGAATTTCTGCAGTGCATCTTATAGATAGTACACACTGCTGCTACTGAGCATTGGTGGTCGAGGGAGTGGATGCTTGTGGATGTAGTGCCAGTCAAGCGGGCTGCTTTATCCTGGATGGTGTCAAGCTTCTTGAGTGTTTCGGAGCTGCACCCATCCAGGCAAGTGGGGAGTATTCCATCAAACTCCTGCCTTGTGCCTTGTAGATGGTGGGGAGTCAGGAGGTGAATTACTTGCCACAGTATTCCTGGCCTCTGACCTGCTCTTGTAGCCAATGGTTTATGTGGCAAGTCCAGTTGCATTTATGGTCAATGGTAAGCCCTCAGGACTTTGATAGTGGGGAAATTCAGTGATGGTAACATCATTGAATGTGAAGGTGTGGTTAGATTGTCTCTTTATTGGTGATGGTCATAGCCTGGCATTTGTGTGGCATGAATGTTACTTGTCAGTTGTCAGCCCAAGCCTGGATATTGTCCAGATCTTATTGCACTTGAACATGGACTCCTCAGTATCTGAGGAGTCATGAATGGGTGGAATATTGTGCATCTGACTGTCTGATGGAGGGAAGGTCATTGATGAAATAGTTGAAGATGGTTGGGCCTAGGCCCTGAGGAACTCCTGCTGAGATGATTGACGTCCAACAACCACAACCATCTTCCTATGTGCCAGGTATTACTCCAACCAGCGGAGAGTCTGTCCCCGATACCTGTTGATTCCAGTTTTGCTAGAGCTCCTTGACTCCACACTCAGTCAAATGCAGCCTTCACGTCAAGGGCTGTCACTCTCACCTCACCTCACCTTCAGCTCTTTTGTCCATGTTTGAACCAAGGCTGTAATGAGGTCAGGAACTGAGTGGCCCTGATGGAACCCAAACTGGGCGTCACTGAGCAGATTATTGCTGAACACGTGCTGCTTGATAGCACTGTTACTGACACCTTCCATCACTTTACTGATGATCGAGAATAGACTGATGAGGCAGTAATTGACCAGGTCAGATTTGTCCTGCTTTTTGTGTACAGGACATACCTGGGCAATTTTCCACATTTTCAGGAGGATGTCAGTGTTGTAACTGTATTGGAACAGCTTGGCTATGGGAGTAGGAAGTTGTGGAGCACAAGTCTTCAGTACTATTGCTGGAATGTTGTCGGGGCCCATGGCCTTTGCAGTATCCAGTGTTTCCAACCATTTCTTCATATCACGTGGAGTGATTTGAATTGGCTGGACACTGATATCCGTAATGTTGGGGGTCACTGTAGGAGGCCAGGATGGATCATCCACTCAGCACCTCTGGCTGAAGATTGCTGCGAATGCTTCAGCCTTATCTTTTGCACTGATGTGCTGGGCTCTTCCATCATTGAGGATGGGGATGTTTGTGGAGCCTCCTCCTCCAGTGCGTTTTTTAATTGCCCACCACCATTCCCGACTGGATGTGGCAGGACTGCAGAGCTTAAATCTGATCCATTTGTTGTGGGATCACTTAGCTCTGCCTGTCACCTGCTGCTTTCGCTGCTTTTAATGTTTGGCATGCAAGTAGTCCTGTTTGGTGGTTTCACCAGGTTGGCACCCCACTTTCAGGTATGCCTGGTGCTGCTCCTGGCACACCCTCCTGCACTCTCCATTGAACCAGGGTTGATCCCCTGGCTTGATGGTAATGGTTGAGTGGGTGATATGCCAGCCCATGAGGTTACAGATTGTGCTGGAGTACAATTCTGCTGTTGGTGGCCCACAGTGCCTCATGGATACCCAATGTTGAGTTGCTGGACCCGTCCGAAGTATGTCCCATTCAGCACGGTGATAGTGCCATGCAACACAAAGGAGGGTATTCTCAATGTGAAGGTGGGACTTTGTCTCCGCAAGGACTATACAATGGTCACTCTTACTGATATTATCATGGATGGATGTAAATGCAGCTGGCAGATTGGTAAGGATGAGGTCAAGTATCTTATTCCCACTTGTTGGTTCCCTCACCACCTGCCACAGACCCAGTCTAGCAGCTATGTCCTTTAGTCACTGAACAGCTCAATCAGTAGTACTGCTGCCGAGCCACTCTTGGTGGTGGACATTGAAATCCCCCACCCAGAGTACATTTTGTGTCTTTGCCATCCTCAGTGCTTCCTCCAAGTGCTGTTCAACATGGAGGAGTACCGATTTATAGCTGCTCGGCTGTAACCAGGCAACACAGTCTGGAATTGCTTCAAGTGTGATGCCATCTGAAGCACGGATTGTTCCTTATCATTTCATCTGTTTTCTTTTGTGTGATGACAGTAAATGTTTTTCAAAAACATAGTCAGACTAATACAAACTGACAAAAAGCAAAAGCTGAGGAAAGGGATAACTGGTCTGCCCCAAATAGGAAGCAAAACAAAACCAAACAGTAATGGAGACTGTTAAACACTTCCCTTCCTGTTAGACTGACAAGAGTTTAGGTCAAAAGTCTCTCTTCTATCCCACAAATCTTGCTGCCTTTCCATTATGTTCGGTCTGTCACATGTTTGTGTAATTTGTTTTTTGTCACTCTGATTTAATCTCTTTCTTCTTTCTCTGATTTCCATGTGTCTGTGTGTTCTCATCATTCTTCATCCATCTTACATAGAATGTACAACACAATCCATGGATTCTTGCCCAGGTGGATTAGGATCAAAAATTGTTGGCAAAACAATAGTTGAATAATGAGCTATTCTTTCATAAAATGTTGGCGTCGACTGTTTGTTTTGCGGTGCTGTGGGGTCCATGGAGCGTGTATGTATTGGGTGGGCACTTGCACTCCCTTTTCAGTTATCTTCTGTGTTTTTGGTGGCACTTCAGCCCCACGCTCCTGATCTTTGGGCACCTGGCGCAGAGGGGAGCGGGCAGGTCAGGGGATCTCTTCGTGGCTCTGCTCCTGGGCCTGGCCAAGCTGGCCATTGACAGGTCCAGGCAGTGGAGAGGGCCATAATTGCCGACTGCCTGCCCCTTTTCTTTGGCTACGTTTGTGCCAGAGTGTCCCTGGAGAATGAGCATGGAGTGTCCGCCGATACTCTCG